ATACTACTCAGTGGAGATTCTACCTTCCTCCAGGCCCTTTGGATCTAGGTTCCCTCTTGAAAGCTTGTAAGCCAGTCACTTCTTGCCTTTGTAGCCCCCCGCCCTCCATGTGCCCTGGATTTTATTTTTTAAATAAAACTAATAATAAACACTGGCAAATAAAAAAAACACATTAAGAGTATGTGCTCTGGAAGGTGAGTTTAGAGTCATTCTTACTTATTCATTCTTTTTATCTCTGTGTTAAATCGTTTCTAAAGGGGCTTCATAGAAATCCATGTTCTTTTAAAAGAAAAGTCTAAAAGCTTGGTTTATTAAAATAAGGTAATCTTAGCATATGCCATTCTGAGACTTGTCTTTCTGCTCTGCTGATTTGTGAGTGGGCATTGGGGATGAGGCTGGTAGGTAACACTGGTTCAGGGTTTGAAGTAGTATAGCTTATTGGGGTGCTAATGCGTGAGACCCGAAAGTAATTGGAAGACTAATCTAGATGTATATTCAGTTTTTTCTAAATTTATTATTTTAACATTTAGTGGCTATACTTTGTAATTATTTAAACAGTTAAAGCAGAGTTTTAATTAAAGTAATATGTTGTTGTTATTAAATACTGTGGAGTCAGCTCTGACTCATAGCGACCCTGTATAGAATTCCCAGGGAACAGCTGGTGGGTTTGTACTGCCAACCTTTTGGTTAGCAGTCCCATGCTTATTCTACAACACTACACCAGGACTCCATAGAAGACTAATGTGTTATAATTTACCCTGTGGTCTAAAGATAATTACTCTCTTGTTGTTTGCCTCCAGTGATATTGATGAAAAGTCTGAGGATGGGCTGATTCTCATTCTTTTGAGATAATACTTTCCTTGTTCTTTGTAATCTTCTTATCCATGATTGTTGTTGCTGTTATGTGCCGTGGAGTCGGCTCCAACTCATAGAGACCCTGTATAGGGTTTCCGAGGTTATAAATATTTACGGGATCAGAAAGCCTCATCTTTCTCCCATGGAACAGCTGGTATTTTCGAACTGCTGACCTTGCGGTTCGCAGCCTGATTCATAACCACTATGCTACCAGAGGTCCTTATAGGTAGGGTTATTTCTTCACAAAGCTTCACCCCTGAATAATAAGGTAGGGATTTTGGTTTTATGAGTGTGTCTGCATTAGGTTGTGGCTCTTAAATGCCAGAATGAAGAGACATTATTTTGGAACACTAATATCTTCACTAGACACCTTAACCTGCTTACAGGCCTGATGGGTTTGTTCCCTTAGAAGCATTGCTCTGGTTTTTGCCAGAGAGTAAAGAAATGTCTTTGCTGAAACGCTATATCATTCTTCTACCCACCTGTCAATCTTTCCCAAAAAAACTTCTCAACAGCTATGCCATCCATGACTTGTCTTTGTGCTGATTATCCTGTTTTCTTCCAGGTCTTGCTGACTCTAGGTTGGGAAGCTCTCTAGGGTTCTGCTGAGAACACTGGTTCTCACTTCTCTTTCAGCCTTTTCCAGGATATATTCTGGACTTCATTTTGTTTTGTCCATTAATACTTTTCCATTTACTGTGTTCTAAAATCGCTAATGTTTTTTAAAATTAATTTTGTTACTGTTACTGAGAATAGACACACATCTCTTCATCCATTTCCACTTACATATTTCAGTGACACTAATTACATTCTTGGAGTCATGTACCCATTTTTGCCTTCATTTACCGAGGTACTCCTCCCTTACTAAAAGTATATGCTCAAGGCAGATATTTTTTTGTTATTGTTAAGTGCTGTCAAGTTGGTTCTGACTCATAGTGGCCCTGTTTAGGGTTTCTGAAGCTGTAAATATCTGTGGGAGCAGAGAGCCTCATCTTTCTTCAACAGAGCAGCTGGTAAGCTCAAACTGCTGACCTTGTGGTTCACAATTCAGTGCTTATCCTATAAAGCCACTGAGTTCCCCTTTTCCTAGTTTATTGACTTATAGTGACCGTATAAGTGAATGTGAACCAACCTTGGGGTCCAGTACTTATCCTATACGCCAGGCCAGAATAGGTACCATTAATATCTCCTGTATGCTGATGCCATGCCAGAATTTCTCTTCACTCTTTTAGTGACTGTCGTTTTTATTTGCATTTTGGAAGAGATATAAGCAAACGCTCATTTTGCAGTCCTGCATTAAAATCCAAAACTTTTAGATACACCGTTGAACTCCCCTTTTCCCCACCACCATCTGCTGTTTAATTCAATACCATGTGGACCCTAAATGGTTAGTATGTTGAAGAAAGAACTCAAAGTCCCTAAGTATTCTGACTGTATATTGTTGGACTTCTTAGAATCCAGGAGCTCATTTCTGATGATCACCGAGAAGCAGGTCGAATTCCCCGAACAATAGAATGTGAGCTTGTTCATGATCTTGTGGATGGCTGTGTCCCAGGAGATACAGTAACTATTGCCGGAATTGTCAAAGTCTCCAGTGCTGAAGAAGGTGTAGCATAACTCTTTTCCTTATTTTGATTATCCCTCAATAATGATTTGCTTTAAAGATGCTTCTAAATCTCCATCAATTTGGGAGAATCCTTTGTTTCTTATATAAGATGCAACTGTCCTTTTAAATAAAAGCTTATAGTAAAAGGCTTACTGTGCTTTTTTACTTCCTAGTTGAATCTTTGTAGGGAAAATAAAAGTTCTGTTATTGTATTTAAACTTACAGGTTCTCGAAATAAGAATGATAAATGCATGTTCCTTCTGTACATTGAAGCAAATTCTGTTAGCAATAGCAAAGGACAGAAAACAAAGACATCAGAGAGTGGATCTAAGCATGGAGCATTGATGGAGTTCTCACTTAAAGACCTTTATGCCATTCAGGAGATTCAAGCGGAAGAAAAGCTGTTTAAACTTATTGTCAAGTATGTATGGATTATCTAAAGTTTTATTAAATATATGTGTGTCGGAGTGTTCTTGACTACATGTAACAAAAAACTAAAGTCAAAATGGAACACTAAAAAAAAAAAAAGGAATACTGCAGCCTGCAGGTCAAATCAACCTGTTTTTGTGCTGTCTATGCAAGGAATGAATGCGTTTTATATTTTTAAGTGGGGTAGCAGAGGAAAGCAAGATTTTTTCATGACACAAGAAATTATATGACACGTAAATTTCAGTGCCCATTAATAAAGCTTTCTTGGAAAGTAGCCATGCTGATTTGCTTGTGTATTGTCTATGACTATGACTGCTATTGTGCTACACTAGCAGAGTTGAGTGGTTGTTGATAGAGAATACGATGCGGTTTCAGAAAGTTCATCACAAAATGGATTTAAAAGGTAATAGAATTTTTTTGAGGACTTTAGATTCATGGGAGGAGAGGGACTAAGAGATGGTGGCCAGGAGGCAGACTTGCAGAATGTGCCCTTTTGTGGTGTAAATTATTATATTTGCCTGAGTTTTTGGGGAAAAAAAAAAAGAGCCAAAGTGAATAGAGAGAAATAACTGATGGTACATGTTGTTATGTGCCGTGGAGTCAGTTCCAAGTCATAGTCACCCTGTACAGGGTTTCCTAGGGTCTAAATCTGTACAGGAGTAGAAAGCCTCATCTTTCTCGCGTGAAACAGCTGGTAGTTTCAAATTGCTGACCTTGCAGCTCGAGGCTCGCAACCTGATTTGTAACCACTACGCTAACAATGAAGGGGATTATATCATTGTAATGGAACAAGGTATGTTGTTGTTGTTGTTGTTGTTAAGTGCTGTCGAGTCGGTTCCGACCCATAGCGACCATGTACAGGGTTTCCGAGGGTGTAAATCTTTACGGGAGTAGAAAGCCTCATCTTTCTCCCGCGGAGCGGCTGGTAGTTTCAAACCGCTGACGTTAAGGTTCGCAGCCTGATTCGTAACCACTACGCTAACAATGGAGGGGATTATAATCATTGTAATGGAACAAGGTATATAACTTGTTAAATGTAAAACTGATAATCTGCCTGTAAACTTTCACTCAATCCACAATAAAAAACCTTAAAAAAAAAATTTAAAAAAAAAGGTAATCGAATTTTTCCACAAACTTGTTTGCTGGCCTTTGGTTGAAATAATAAGGAAAATTTACAATCTAACACACAAAGTTGTAAGATAATGGCAACACTTAGAAGAAGAATGAGGAGAGAGTGAATTCCAAACCATTTTAATTAGTTACATGCAGGATATTTTTTAATTTAAAAAATATTCAAATAGGAGTCTCTTGCAGGCACGTATTTATAAATTCTTACTTTTCATGTTATTGCCATGTAATAGAGAGGGAAGAAGCAAAGCTAAGAAAGACGCATTCATTTCATTGTAGTTGTTAAAAGCCTTTCTTTGGGATCAAGCATAAGTACATTCCTGCTTCTGTCACATACTTCTAGTGTGATGTTAGGCATGTTATTTAACTTCTCCCTGTTTTATCATCATAAAATAGAAATCATGGCTCCCTCTGAGGGTTGTTCCGAGATGAAGTGAGATTTAACTATGTACTTAATTATCAAAGACCAAAACATTGTTGGCAAGTCAATTCTGACTCATAGCAGCCCGATAGGACAGAGGACACCTGCCCCATAAAGTTTCCAGGGCAGTGAATCGATACAGAAGCAGACTGTAGCATCTTTTTCTTGTGGAGCGGTTGGTGGAATCGAGTCACCAACTTGTTGGTTAGCCATTGAGTGTTTGACCACTGCCAACAGAGCACCTTTTTACTTAACATCACTGTAAAGTGGCCTCGATACAGTTCCAATTCACAGGGACCCTGTGTACAACAGAATGAAAATTGCCCAGCCCTCCATCATCCTCACAATCGTTGCTGTTTAAGTTCATTGTTGCTGCCATTGTGTTGGTCCAGCTAGTGGAGATTTTTCCTCTTTTTCACAGACCCTCTACTAAGCCTGATGTCCATTTTAAGGGTCTGGTTCCTCCTGATAACATGTCCAAGGTTGGTGAGATAAAATCTCGTCATCCTCAGTTTTAAGGAGCATTCTGGCTATACTAATTCCAAGACAGAGTTTTTTTGTTCTTTAGGGAATTCATAGTGTGTATTCAGTATTCTTCACCAACACCGTAAATCAAAGACATCCATTCTTTGATCTCACTATGTTTGCCCAGTGTTTCATTCTATTGTGCATAGGTTTGCTATGAGATGGCACTGATCTGATAGCACCTGACAAGTATTTTGGGAGGTGATCCCCAGAAGCACTGGTAGGGAAGTGGGCAAGTGGCCAGAGAGAGGAAGGCAGACAGTAGATGGTGCCTTAAGAACAGGTTAACATTAGGAGTTAGCTTTGGGAGTTAAATTCTCCTGAGGCCTCCAAGACACTAGACTCTATTTTTTCACCTAAGGCCCTCAGAGGGTCCTGGTTTGGCACTGTAGGATAAGTACTGGACTGCAAGGTTAGCAGTTCAAACTCACCAGCCCACTCTGGAAATCCTATAAGGGTTGCTATGAGTTGGAACCAACTTATCAGCATTTAACAACAACAAGACCTCAGATTTAGGTCTGCTCACAGGGATATTAAATACCCAGTACTTCTGGCCTACCCAGGCTGCCTTCTGCTGATACTTCGTCAAACAAGCCAGTGCTTGGTTGGAAGCCAACAGTCATTGTGCCAGCACATGCTGAACAGTGAGTGTCGGAGGAGAGGAGGGGTATGCTCAGACACCACAGTTTCTGCTAGAGCTTACTGACGTTAGGAAGGGATCATGATTCACCTCTCATTCCAGTTTTATCTCCAAGTATATTCGCACATGGTCTTACTTATTTTGACTCTGAATTGAACTGGAAAAAAATGAAATTTTACCTCATTTAAAAATATTATGTACTCAGTGTATCAGTTAGTTTCCTTTCATTGGCTTTGTCATGAAGGTCTAAAGATGTCAGTTCAATAAAATACAATAAAATTTCAAGGAAAAGACTATGATTATAGCATATTTTAAAAGTTCTGAAAAAAGGTCAAAACTATATTTGGTTATTTTAAGATGCTTCACAGTTATCCTGTCCTGTTATACAGGAACAATTTTTAAAGCATTCTTCCCTTTATAGATCAATAATTTTGAAATATTTACTGTTACAATAGACTTTTCTTGAGTTTTTGAGAAATGACAATGTGTTTTTTTCTGCTTTGATGCTAACTAAAGCAAGGGAATCAATTTATAGACATTATTAGGGATCAGTGACATTCAAGTTAGAATTTATTTGATTTTTAAAATTTTAATAACTTGTGTTCTATTTTTCAGCTCTCTTTGTCCTGTCATTTTTGGTCATGAGGTAAGTATTTCATCTTTATGCAAAAGTAAAATAAAGTTGACAATTTATATTAATATTTATTAAATGTTTCATTTTATTAATAATTTACTCTGAATTAATATTAGTAGCTAATTTCTGTTGTCTTATTATTCGTATTTTGTTATGAATCCTTATTTTCCCTCAATGAATACCATGAGAAGCCTCTAATAATCCAAAAAGGCCAACAACTGTTTGCCGTTGAGTCCGTTTTGATTCATGGACCTTATATATGCCAGAGGAGAGCTGTGCCCCTTAGGGTTTTCAGTGGGTGGGTATTTGGAAGTAGATCACTAGGTCTCTCTGTCATGACACCTGTGAGTAGATTG